GCAGGCAGATCACGAAGTCAAGAGTTTGAGACCAGGCTGGCAAACATGGTGAAACCCCATCTCTACAAAGAATACAAAAAAATTAGCCGAGGGTAGTGGCAGGTGCCTGTAATCCCAGATACTTGAGAGGCTGAGGCAGGAGATTTCCTTGAACCCAGGAGGCAGAGGTTACAGAGAACCAAGATTGAGCCACTGCACTCCAGCCTGGGTGACAGAGTGAGACACGGTCTCAAAACAAACAAGACCAGGTTCAGTGGCTCATGCCTGTAATTCCAGCACTTTGGGAGGCCAAGATGGGTGGATCACCTGAGGTTAGGAGTTCGAGGCCAGCCTGACCAACATGGAGAAACCCCTGTCTGTACTAAAAGTACGAAAAATTAGCCAGGTGTGGTGGTGCATGCCTGTAATCCCAGCTACTTGGGAGACAGGCAGGAAAATCGCTTTAATCTGGGAGGCAGAGGTGGTGGTGAGCCAAGGTCAGGCCATTGCACTCCAGCCTGGGCAACAAGAGCAAAACTCCGTCTCAAAAAAAAAAAAAAAAAAAAAAAAAAAAAGAAGCACAAACAAAAAACAGTCTCATGACTTATGAAGGCTACCTAGGACTTACCTAAGAAAATGGCCCAATGAATAAATAAATTCAGCTGGACACGGTGGCTCATGCCTGTAATCCCAGCACTTTGGGAGGCCAAGGCAGGTAGATCATGAGGTCAGGAGATCAAGACCATCCTGGCTAACATGATCAAACACTGTCTCTACTAAAAATACAAAAAACTTAACTGGGCATGGTGGCATGTGCCTGTCATCACAGCTATTTGGGAGGGAGGCTGAGGCAGGAGAATTGTTTAAACCTGGGCGGGGTGGGGGGAAATTACAGTGAACCAAGATCACACCACTGCACTGCATGCAACCTGGGTGACAGAGTGAGCCTCCGTCTCAAATAAATAAATAAAATAAAATAAATACAAATAAATACATTTACTTATGTCAATTACAAAAAAAAAAAAAAAAAAAAAAAAAAAAGAAAGGGGCCGGGCGCAGTGGCTCACATCTGTAATCCTAAGACTTTGGGAGGCCAAGGTGGGCAGATCACCTGAGATCAGGAGTTCAAGACAAGCCTGACCAACAGGTATTGTATTCTCTACTAAAAATACAAAATTAGCAGGGCCTGATGGTAAATGTCTGTAATCCCAGCTACTCCAGAGGCTGAGGCAGGAGAATCGCTTGAACCTGGGAGGTGGAGATTTCGGTGAGGGGAGACCCCGCCACTGCACTCCAGTGTGGGCAACAAGAGCAAAACTCCATCTCAAAAAAAAAAAAAAAAAAAAAAGTCAAAGGAACAATAACTAAAGAAAACTAGGCTTATGACTAATTCATATTAAAGAAAAAAAAATAAAAGTAGGCTTATATAGGATTCTCCAATTGAACAAAATGGAATGTTCTAACTAAATAAAACATAACTTATTACACTAATTGTGGAATTACATCTAAAATCATTTTTTTTTTTTTTTTTGAGACGGAGTTTCGCTCTTGTTACCCAGGCTGGAGTGCAATGGCGCGACCTCGGCTCACCGCAACCTCCGCCTCCTGGGCTCAGGCAATTCTCCTGCCTCAGCCTCCTGAGTAGCTGGGATTACAGGCACGTGCTACCATGCCCAGCTAATTTTTTTTTTGTATCTTTAGTAGAGACGGGGGTTTCACCATGTTGACCAGGATGGTCTCGATCTCTCGACCTCGTGATCCACCCGCCTCAGCCTCCCAAAGTGCTGGGATTACAGGCTTGAGCCACCGCACCCGGCTTAAAATCATTTTACATGCACTATTAAATTTCATAAAAATCACTTTTGTAATCCCTGATGAGATCACATAATGAATACTTCATAAACTATAAAACAAGAAAATTATAAGAAGAAATTGATTATGGGTCTAGCATACATACTGGGCAAGTTAAAACAGAATCTGCATAGGGAGACTCTAAACCATAAGCCATATTACAGTAGTAAATTCAATACAAAGCAAAGTGTATACATTTGGTTTCAGATTTTTTGTGTTTAGTTTCCCAGTAAATTAGTCATCTTATTAAATTGATTTGTGTTGTTTCAATAATGCTCTTTTGAAAATCGTTACAAACTCATACCCACAAGAAGACACTTACTTCATAATTTTCTTACACCTAAGGTTTATCTTTAGAACAATGTATGTGTTTATTAAACTTTATGTAAATCAAAACTAAAAGTCATATAATGTGTTTGCAGGCAAAGAGGCCAAATGTTCAAAAATGTATATATAACAAATTTTTTAAAAAATTATTTAGAACTCTGGCCGGGCGCGGTGGCTGAAGCCTGTAATCCCAGCACTTTGGGAGGCCGAGGCGGGTGGATCACGAAGTCAAGAGATCGAGACCATCCTGGTCAAAACGGTGAAACCCCGTCTCTACTAAAAATACAAAAAATTAGCTGGGCATGGTGGTGTGTGCCTATGATCCCAGCTACTCAGAGGAGGCTGAGGCAGGAGAATTGCCTGAACCCGGGAGGCGGAGGTTGTGGTGAGCCGAGATTGTGCCATTGCACTCCAGCCTGGGTAACAAGAGTGAAACTCCGCCTCAAAAAAAAAAACAAACTTAATTTAGAACTCAAAAATGTATAGTTTTTTAATACTTCTATACAGTTTTTATTATGATGCTAAAAATGACCCTATCCCATCTTGAGTAAGATGGGATAGGTTTAAGTTAGTGGCATAATAATGCTTCATTGAATGAACAATAGTCTTTTTTTTTTTTTTTTTTTTTTTTTGAGACGGAGTTTTGCTCTTCTTGCCCAGGCTGGAGTGCAATGGCGCGATCTCGGCTCACCGCAACCTCCGCCTCCCGGGCTCAGGCAATTCTCCTGCCTCCGCCTCCTGAGTAGCTGGGATTACAGGCACGCGCCACCATGCCCAGCTAACTTTTTGTATTTTTAGTAGAGACGGGATTTCACCTTGTTGACCAGGATGGTTTCGATCTCTTGACCTCGTGATCCACCCGCCTCGGCCTCCCAAAGTGCTGGGATTACAGGCTTGAGCCACCGCGCCCGGCTCAATAGTCTTAACATGTTAAAAATATTTAATTAAAAAATTAAGTTCACACATAATCTGAAAATTTTTAAATGTATTCCATTTTATTACATAAAACTACAAGTAGTAAAATGATATACTATTAAGTTTAATTTTAACAAAACTTAAAAATGTTTCTCTCACTATAAGGCAAAAGAATATTACTCTGGACACCTACCTCACGCACCACTCAGCATAAGTTAACCACAAATACCCTGTCCACTTAGATTTTCATCCTGCATGTTACATTTTAATGTCCTTACTCTTCCATGGAAAATGTCATAAATAACGTCTACCTAAAAATTAAAAAATCTCTTTTATCTTTGATGCAATGACAACCGATCACATGCTTTCACGTGAATACAATAGAAATTAAGAAATAGCATGAAATAATTTGAGAGTTGAATTACATCATTACTAGCTTTTCAAAAAAATCTGTACTTCTTTTCAAGGAAAAAACATACTTTGAATGTAATTACAAACTTTCAAAAAATTTTCTACTCCTTTTAAAGTTATATATACAAATAAATTTATCTACCAATGTTAGTTTGGATTTTTTTTATCTTCAGCACTCTGATACAGTGTGATGTCTGAAATGTCAGTATCTTAGATATTTCTACTGTCAATTCTGGTATTTACATAGACTTAATTTTGGATTAAATGTTTTAAATATATACTGCATCTGCAAAAATATATCTTAGTATGAACCCTCTGGTGTTGTCTAAGTTGTAGTTTTAGATATTTTTTTCTTCAAATTTGCAGGTTTTTTCTCCAATCTAAATTCTCTGATGCTGAACAAAGTTTAAGTGACTGCTTTAGGGATTTCTCTAGTACAAAATGTGTACAAGATCTGTGATACAAGTAAAATACTATAACCCTCTTTATATTTGTAATGTTTGTCTTCAAAATAAATTTTTTTTTTTTTTTTTTGGAGACAGAGTGCTCTTGTTGCCCAAGCTGGAGTGCAATGGTGAAATCTTGGCTCACTGCAACCTCTGCCTCCCAGGTTCAAGCAATTCTCCTGCCTAAGCCTCCTGAGTAGCTGGGACTACAGGTGCTTGCCACCCATGCCAGGCTAATTTTGTATTTTTAGTAGAGACGGGATTCCACTGTGTTGGTCAGGCTGGTCTTGAATTCCTGACCTTGTGATCCTCCCACCTTGGCCTCCCAAAGTGCTGGGATTACAGGCGTGAGCCACCGCATCCGGCCCAAAATAAATACTCTTTACTTTAAAAGCTTATATTTTCTGAAAGACTTTTTGACAGTTATTGAATTTACAATGCTTTTATTAAGTACTCTGATGTTGAGTAAGATGTGAGAAGACATTAATGGCTTTTTCACAGTCTTTGTATTTGTATAATTTCTCTCAAGTTCAGATGCTTTCCTGGCAATAAGGTGAGTACTCATTAAAAATTTTGGCTGAACGCAGTGGCTCATGCCTGTAATCCCAGCACTTCTGAAGGCTGAGTTGGGCAAATCACGAGGTCAGGAGTTCGAGAGCAGCCTGGCCAACATGGTGAAATCCTGTCTCTACTAAAAATACAAAACTTAAGGGGGTGTGTGGGGGGGGCAGTGGTGGTGGTGTGTGCCTGTAATCCCAGCTACTTTAGCGGCTGAGGCAGGAGAATCACGTGAAACTGGAAGGTGGAGGTTGCAGTGAGCCAGTGATCATGCCAGTGCACTCCAACCTGGGTGAAAGAGTAAAACTAAAAAAAAAAAAAAAAAAAAACAAAAAAAAAACGGCTGGGTGGGGTGGCTCATGCTTGTAATTCCAGCTCTTTGGGAGGCTGAGGCAGGTGGATCACCTGAGGTCAGGAGTTCGGGACCAGCCTGACCAATACAGTGCAACCCCATCTCTACAAAAAAAAAAAAAAAAAAAAAAAAGAGCAAAACTCTGACCACCCCCCCAAAAAAATAATAATTGCCATTCTTCACACTTGTAAGAGTTTGTCTAGTAAGAATCACCTACAATCAAGTGTGACAATCATTTAAAGGTTTTTGTCAAATTTTTTACATTTTTAAAGTTTCTCGCCAGTACGATCTTTCATGTTTAGAAAAGTTTGAGGTGTTGTCAAAATTACTGATGTCTTCCAGGTTTGTAGCTTCTTTCCAGTATGAATTTTCTTACGTTTAGTAAGGTTTGAGGATTAGTTAAATGCTTCCACATTCTTTACATTTGCTGGTTTCTCTCTAGTATGAATTATGTTATGTTCAGTAAGGATTAAGAGCTGGTTAAGGGCTTTGCCACATTTATCACATTTATAGGGGTTGTCTCTAGTACGAATTATCTTGTGTTTTAATAAAAGTGGAAAATATATTAAATGCTTTGACACATTATTTACATTTGTAGGGGTTCTCTTTGGTATGAATTCTCTTATGTTTATTAAGGTTTGGGGACTGGTTAAAGGCTTTGCCACATTGTTCACATTTGTAGGGTTTCTCGCCAGTATGAATTATCTTATGTTTCATAAGAGTTGAGGACTGGTTAAAGGCTTTGCCACATTGTTTACATTTGTAGGGTCTCTCCCCAGTATGAATCATCTTATGTGTAGTAAGGTGTGAGGACAGAATAAAGTCTTTCCCACATTCTTCACATTTATAGGGTTTCTCTCCAGTATGAATTTTTTTATGATTAGTAAAATTTGAGGAGTAGTTAAAAGTTTTGCCACATTCTTCACATTTGTAGGGTTTCTCTTCAGTATGAATTACCTTATGTTTAGTAAGGATTGAGAATATACTAAAGGCTTTACCACATTCTTCACATTTGTAGGGTTTCTTTCCAGTATGAATTACCTTATGGTAAGTAAGAGTTGAGGACTTGGTAAAGGCTTTACCACATTCTTCACATTTGTAGGGTTTCTCTCCAGTATGAATTACCTTATGATTAGTAAGGTGTGAGGCCCGGTTAAAAGCTCTGCCACATTCTTCACATTTGTAGGGTTTCTCTTCAGTATGAATTATCTTATGTTTACTAAGGGTTGAGAATACACTAAAGGCTTTGCCACATTCTTCACATTTGTAGGGTTTCTCTCCAGTGTGAATTCTCTTATGTGTAGTAAGGTGTGAAGATAGGGTAAAGGCTTTGCCACATTCTTCACATTTGTAGGGTTTCTCTCCAGTATGAATTTTCTTATGATTAGTAAGGTTTGAGGACTGTTTAAAAGCTTTGCCACATTCTTTACATTTGTAGGGTTTCTCTCCAGTATGAATTATCTTATGTTTAGAAAGGTTTGAGGACCGATTAAAAGCTTTGCCACATTCTTCACATTTGTAGAGTTTCTCTCCAGTATGAATTATCTTATGTCTAGTGAGAGTTGAGGACTGGTTGAAAGCTTTTCCACATTCATCACATTTGTAGGGCTTCTCTCCAGTATGAATTATCTTATGATTAGTAAGGGTTGAGGACTTTTTAAAAGCTTTGCCACATTCTTCACAAGCGTAGGGTTTCTCTCCAGCATGACTTATCTCATGTTGTGTTAGTTGTGAAAGCATACAAAATGATTTGTCACATTTTTTACATCTGAAATGATTTTTTCCAGTACGTCTCATCTTACATCTCTTTGAATTTGAATATTTATGAAAGACTTGCACACATTTATCATAATAAGCTATTTTGCTCTGGGTGGCTGTCAGACCCTGGTTAAGTCCATTATGACTTCCTTTGTGCACCTTACACTCATCCATACTTTTACAGCTTTTCCTTAATTGTAAATTCTGATGGCCACATTTTCCATATCTTGTCAGGATTACTTGTTGCAAAGAATTTTTTATATCTTGCTCAGGCCAAAAGTCTTTGGCAAAATCAGAACACATAACTGAAAGAAATAAAAATAACAAATTATTCCAAATACTAGGCTCAGATGAATATTGTTTACAAATCTAACTTATATAAACTACAAAATACCACAGACTCTAAATCCCTTATAGATATATAAATATAACAAAAACATTCTGACCAAAATACATTTGTAAAAAATTTGTTACAAATGAGTTAAGTGTCTGAAGTGCCCGAGGTGAGGACAATGTAGAGTCACATACGAGAATAAAGAAAAGTCTGTTACATTTACCCAGCACGGCTCTTTCTGCTGCCCAATATAACATGGTCTTCACATGTAAATTGCCAAATCCTAATTTCCTTTTTTTTTTTTTTTTTTTTTTTTGAGATGGAGTTTCGCTCATTACCCAGGCTGGAGTGCAATGGCGCGATCTCGGCTCACCGCAACCTCCGCCTCCTGGGTTCAGGCAATTCTCCTGCCTCAGCCTCCTGAGTAGCTGGGATTACAGGCACGCGCCACCATGCCCAGCTAATTTTTTTGTATTTTTAGTAGAGACGGGGTTTCACCATGTTGACCAGGATGGTCTCGATCTCTTGACCTCGTGATCCACCTGCCTCGGCCTCCCAAAGTGCTAGGATTACAGGCTTGAGCCACCACGCCCGGCCTAATTTCCTTTTTAAAAGACTAAAAAAAATAGTGTCACATACATCTTTATTTCTGGCTCTCAGGCACCTTTTCCAACACTGGCTTCTGTCTCCCATGACATAAAGTGCTAAAAGAAATGGTGGTATACTTTGGAATGACAGTTTCAGTCTGCTGAGACCAAAATTAAGTGATACAGCAGCAGAGAGACTGCAGCACCACAGACAGGGAACAGGTGTGGCAAGTGATTACTATTTAGAAGAAACACTAACATAATTCTTCAACTTAAAAAGCCCACAAAATTTCAGACAAGACACATTGTAAGAATATGTTTGAGCCGGGCGCGGTGGCTCAAACTAGCACTTTGGGAGGTCGAGGTGGGTGGATCACCTGAGGACAGGAGTTCAAGACCAGTCTGGCCATCATGGTAAAACCCCATCTTTAAAAAAAAAAAAAAAAAAAGAATATGTTTGACAGATTCCTAAAATATCTAGCCAAGACAACTGGTTTCAGACTATGCCAGGGATAAGCCACATTATAAAGATGATGGCAGGGCCAGGCACAGTGGCTCATACCTGTAATCCCAACACTTTGAGAGCCCAAGGTGGGCGGATCACCTGAGGTTGGGAGATTGAGACCAGCCTGACCAACATGGAGAAACCTGTCTCTACTGAAAATACAAAATTAGCCAGCCATGGTGGTGCATGACTGTAGTCCCAGCTACTCAGGTGGCTAAGGCAGGAGACTGACTTGAACCAAGAAGGTAAAGGCTGTAGTGAGACAAGATCATACCATTGCACTCAGCCTGGGCAACAAGAGCAAAACTCTGACTCAAAAAGAAAACTAAAAAAAAAAAAAAAAAACCTGGCCGGGCGTGGTGGCTCAAGCTTGTAATCCCAGCACTTTGGGAGGCTGAGGCGGGGGGATCACGAGGTTGAGAGATCGAGACCATCCTGGTCAACATGGTGAAACCCCGTCTCTACTAAAAATACAAAAAATTAGCTGGGCATGGTGGCACATGCCTGTAATCCCAGCTACTCAGGAGGCTGAGGCAGGAGAATTGCCTGAACCCAGGAGGCGGAGGTTGCAGTGAGCCGAGATCGCGCCATTGCACTGCAGCCTGGGTAACAAGAGCAAAACTCCGTCTCAAAAAAAAAAAAAAAAAACCCTGAAGAAAAAATGTCAAAATGAAGAGGCTCAACAAACAAACTAGGATACACAAAAGAAGACTGTGACAGCTAGCTTGTTTTTAATGTCTAAATCTCAAAGATTAATGTAAAATATTAGGGTAGCATGACCCCATCAAAAGCATTATCAAACTTTCAGAAAGCAATCATAAGAACATAAAGAGGTGGTTGGATGCAGTGGCTCACACTTGTAATCTGAGCTCTTTGGGAGGCTGAGGTGGGTGGCTCACAAGGTCAAGAGATCAAGACCATCCTGGCCAACATGGTGAAACCTCATCTTTTCTAAAAATACAAATAATTAACTGGGCATGGTGGCACACGCTTGTAGTCCCAGATACTTGAAAGGCTGAGGCAGGAGAATCGCTTGAACCCAGGAGGTAGAGGCTGCAGTCAGCGGAGATCCTGCCACTTCACTCCAGCCTGGTGACAGAACAAGACTCCATTTCAAAAAAAAGAAGAAGAATATAAAGAGGTATACATTTTTTATATTTAAAATAAATTAAATACTACACAATGTGAAACAAGAACATACACAACTACTGGAGATCAGAAAAATGAGGATAACAATAAAAATATTAAAAATAAAAAACAGGCCAGGTGGGGTCGCTCACATCTGTAATCCCAGCACTTTGGGAGCACAAGGCAGGCAGATCACCTGAGGTCAGGAGTTCAAGACCAGCCTGACCAACATGGAGAACCCTCATCTCTACTAAAAATACAAAATTAGCCAGGTGTGGTGGCACATGCCTGTAAACCCAGCTACTCAGGAGACTGAGGCAGGAGAATCACTTGAATCCAGGAGGCACAGGTTACACTCTTTGAAACAGAACAGAGTGGTGTTTGAAAAGTGAGATGAAACGGAAATAATTGGTAATTGGCACATATTTGTAATGCAGCTACTTGAGAGGCTGAAATGAGAGGATCATCAGGGTTTGGAAAGTTGAGGCTGCTGTGAGTCATGATCACGCCACTGAAATCCAGCCTGATTGACAGAGTAAAACCCTATTTCTAAACTGAATGAATACATAGGCGAGGAATGGTGGCTCACGCCTGTAATCCAGCATTTTGGGAGGCCAAGGTGGGTGGATCACTTGAGGCCAGGAGTTTGAGACTACCCTGCCCAACACAGTAAAACCCCATGTCTATTAAAAATAGAAAAAATTAGCTGGGCATGGTGGCACACACCTGTAATCTCAGCTACTTGGGAGACTGAGGCATGAGAATCACTTGAATCTGGGAGGTGAAGGTTGCAGTGAGTTGAGATCATGCTACAGCACTCCAGCCTGGGCAACAAAGTGAGATTCTTGTCTCAAAAAGAAAAAAATAAAAAATAAATGAATAAATAAAATTATAAAAAAGAAAAAGAAATAAAATGCCTGAGTAACTTTAGAAAAAAGCATACAATATGCTGCCTACAAGAGACTGATTTTAGCTTTGCATCGAATTGGCTGAAAGTAACAATAGAAAAAATTTATTTTTCATCCAAATAGCAACCACAATTGCACGAGGTAACTGTAATTATATTAGACATATGCTTTCAGTCAAGTACTAGCATGAGAACAAAATTGATATTATATAATAATAAAATAGGTTAATTTACCAGTAATCTACAACTTTTTTTTTTTTTTGAGACAGAGTTTCGCTCTTGTTACCCAGGCTGGAGTGCAATGGCGCGATCTCGGCTCACCGCAACCTCCGCCTCCTGGGTTCAGGCAATTCTCCTGCCTCAGCTTCCTGAGTAGCTGGGATTACAGGCACAAGCCACCATGCCCAGCTAATTTTTTGTATTTTTAGTAGAGACAGGGTCTCACTATGTTGACGGGGATGGTCTCGATCTCTTGACCTCGTGATCCACCCGCCTCGGCCTCCCAAAGTGCTGGGATTACAGGCTTGAGCCACCGCGCCCGGCCGAGACAGGATTTCTTAATGTTGGTCAGGTTGGTCTTGAACTCCTGACCTTAGATGATCTGCCCACCTCGGGCTCCCAAAGTGCTGGGATTCCAGGTGTGAGCCAATGCGCTTGGCCGTAAAGTAGATTTTTTTTTTTTTTGAGACGGAGTTTCGCTCTTGTTACCCAGGCTGGAGTGCAATGGCGTGATCTCGGCTCACCGCAACCTCCGCCTCCTGGGTTCAGGCAATTCTCCTGCCTCAGCCTCCTGAGTAGCTGGGATTACAGGCACACGCCACCATGCCCAGCTAATTTTTTGTATTTTTAGTAGAGACGGGGTTTCACCATGTTGACCAGGATGGTCTCGATCTCTCGACCTCGTGATCCACCCACCTCGGCCTCCCAAAGTGCTGGGATTACAGGCTTGAGCCACCGTGCCCGGCCCAGTAGAATTTTTAAAGAATTTAAAAGTATAAGGCAGAAGATATTCCTATGTTGAAGTTTTTAAAAAAAGCTGCCTAGAAACTGTTTTGGAACACAAATTTCCAAGTTACATTTTAAGGACTGGCTTTCTTTTTCACCTTTGGACCTCCCATCTGTGTCATCTGTTGTATTCACTCTCACCTACCTGGGGATTTGGCTACCAACTCATGTCTCATCATATTCCAGGGATCTTTTCCTTGCTCCAGACAGGTGATCAGGTCTAAATTAGACACAGCAATACCTGTTTTATTAAAAATAAATAACATGAATCTTGAGTATATTCTGCAATTATCAACGGATTAATTTTCTCAGTGAAGAAAATGTAGGCCAGGTTCAGTGGCTCATGCCAGCACTTTAAGAGAGTGAGGTGGGTAAATCACCTGAGGTCAGGAGTTCGAGACCAGACTTGTCAACATGCCAAAACCCCATTTCTACTGAAAATACAGAAATTAACTGGGCATGGTGGTGCACACCTGTAGTCCTAGCTGTTCAGGAGGCTGAGACAGGAGAATCATTAGAACCAGGAGGCAGAGGCTGCAGTGAGCTGAGATTGTATCACTATATCCAGCCTGGGTGACAGAGCAAGACTCCATTTCAGAAAAAATATTTTTAAAAAAGAATGTAAAAGAATATTCTAACAAATTAATCACAAAATACTAACTTAAAAATAAAAATTTTAAATATTAAGAAAATATTAGGAGGCTGAGGCAGGAGAATTGCTTGAATCCAGGAGGCGGAGGTTGCAGTGAGCCGAGGTTGTGCCATTGTACTCCAGCCTGGGTAACAAGAGCGAAACTCTGTCTCAAAAAAAAAAAAAAAAAAAAAAAGAAAGAAAATATTTTCAATTTGTGTATTCTTATTTTCACTATCCAGTGCTACTGAATCAAAAATTGATGGTGTCAATTAGTTTTTTTTTTTTTTTTGAGACAAAGTCTCACTCTGTCACCCAGGCTGGAGTGCAGTGGCAGGATCTTGGCTCACTGCAACCTCTACCTCCCATGCTCAAGCAATTCTTCTGCCTCAGCCTCCTGAGTAGCTGGGATTACAGGCATGTGCCACCATGCCCAGATAATTTTTGTATTCTTAGTAGAGACAGGGTTTCACCATGTTGGTCAAGCTGATCTCAAACTCCACCCATCTCGGCCTCCCAAAGTGCTGGGATTATAGGTGTGAGTCACTGCACCCGGTCGTAGCAATTACAATTTTAAGGTGTGGGCAACAGTATTTTATGCCACTAAATTTCGGGAACTATCACTAATCTAGAATGAAGAATAGAGATCAGCTCAGAAATGTGGAAAGTTCAGGTCAGGATGAAACATCTACAGAGAAAAATCTTAGATTTCAGGCAATTCTCCTGCCTCAGCCTCCTGAGTAGCTGGGATTACAGGCACACACCACCATGCCCAGCTAATTTTTTGTATTTTTAGTAGAGACAGGGTTTCACCATGTTGACCAGGATGGTCTCGATCTCTTGACCTCATGATCCACCCGCCTCGGCCTCCCAAAGTGCTGGGATTACAGGCTTGCGCCATCGCACCCGGCACACAAAGGTTCTTTTTTTTTTTTTTTTTTTTTTTTGAGACGGAGTTTCGCCCTTGTTACCCAGGCTGGAGTGCAATGGCGCGATCTCGGCTCACCGCAACCTCCGCCTCCTGGGCTCAGGCAATTCTCCTGCCTCAGCCTCCTGAGTAGCTGGGATTACAGGCACGTGCCACCATGCCCAGCTAATTTTTTGCACTTTTAGTAGAGACGGGGTTTCACCATGTTGACCAGGATGGTCTTGATCTCTCGACCTCGTGATCCACCCGCCTCGGCCTCCCAAAGTGCTGGGATTACAGGCTTGAGCCACCAAGCCCGGCGATTTTCTTAAAAACAGGTATATGAAACTCATTGATGTAAAGCATAAATTGCCAAAACACATGCAACAAAAAGAGAAATGAAACCTTTAGAGTATATGTATATATATATGTTTTGTTTTTTTTTTTTTTTTGAGACGGAGTTTCGCTCGTTACCCAGGCTGGAGTGCAATGGCGTGATCTCGGCTCACCGCAACCTCCGCCTCCTGGGTTCAGGCAATTCTCCTGTCTCAGCCTCCTGAGTAGCTGGGATTACAGGCACACGTCACTATGGCCAGCTAATTTTTTGTATTTTTAGTAGAGACGGGGTTTCACCTTGTTGACCAGGATGGTCTCGATCTCTTGACCTTGTGATCCACCCGCCTCGGCCTCCCAAAGTGCTGGAATTACAGGCTTGAGCCACCGCGCCCGGCCTATCTTTAGAGTATATTGGGAATTGTGTATTAAAGTTATCCTTACCCAGGAAGACCAAGTTTCTGTAGTTCTCTAACATCACATTTCTATATAAATTCTGCTGTGCTGTGTCCAGGCATTGCCACTCCTCCAGAGAGAATTCTATGGCTACATCCATAAATGTCAATGGTCCCTGAAAACACAAACACATATTTACCAAGTGTTTATGGACAGAATTTTTTATTTTTATTTTTATTTTTGAGACGGAGTTTTGCTCTCGTTGCCCAGGCTGGAGTGCAATGGCGTGATCTCGGCTCACCGCGACCTCCGCCTCCTGGGTTCAGGCAATTCTCCTGCCTCAGCCTCCTGAGTAGCTGGGATTACAGGCACACGCCACCATGCCTGGCTAATTTTTAGTATTTTTAGTAGAGACGGGGTTTCACCATGTTGACCAGGATGGTCTCGATCTCTTGACCTCGTGATCCACCCGCCTCGGCCTCCCAAAGTGCTGGGATTACAGGCTTGAGCCACCGTGCCCGGCCTGGACAGAATTTTTAATTTGACTCAAGGTGAAATGAAAGTAAAGAGATCTTGTTTTGACTTACAGGAGTGACTAAAATTATCTAATAAAATAATATTCAACACAGAAATATTCTCTAATGTATTCGCTAACTGAGGAAAGAGAGTAGTATAAGATCCACAACATCAGTGTATATATGTTCTTTTTCTTGATGATAAAGTATAAACTGAAGGGCATGAACACGACATGTACATTTTTTATTGTTACATGTACATCATACAGAATGACTTGCATATATTTTTCAGATGGAGAAGACAGATTGAGTTGGAAAGAGCCTTTCAAAATTTAATCTGTATGATAAACTGTAGATCTTGTTAATGGAGATTATTTTTCAGGAAGATCTGGAGTGTTATGGCTCAATCTCTATCACACAACCTCCTCCTCATGGGTTCAAGCTATTCTCCTGTCTCAGCCTCCCAAGTAGCTGGGATTACAGGCATGCCTTACCACACCCAGCTAATTTTGTATTTTTAGTAGAGATGGGTTTTCTCCCTGTTGGCCAGGCTGGTCTCAAGCTCCTGACCTCAGGTGATCCACCCGTTTTAGCTTCCCAAAGTGATCGGATTGCAGGCACGAGCCACTGCACCCAGCCCAGTTTCTGAATTTCTAACAAGCTCACCAATAATGCCAATTATTTTGGCCCAAAGAGAATATTTTGTCAAACATCCGGTAAGTACAAATGCCTGTGTTGTTGTTGTTGGTTTTTTTTTTTTTTCAGTTTTTCTAACCTATAAACAAAGACAAGAGCTTTCATTTTTTTTTTTTTTTTGAGACGGAGTTTCGCTCTTGTTACCCAGGCTGGAGTGCAATGGCGCAATCTCAGCTCACTGCAACCTCCGCCTCCTGGGCTCAGGCAATTCTCCTGCCTCAGCCTCCTGAGTAGCTGGAATTATAGGCACGTGCCACCATGCCCAGCTAATTTTTTGTATTTTTAGTATAGACGGGGTTTCACCATGTTGACCAGGATGGTCTCGATCTCTTGACCTCATGGCCTCCCAAAGTGCTGGGATTACAGGCTTGAGCCACCACGCTCGGCCTCAAGAGCTTTCATTTTCTAAGCCGGGTGCGGTGGCTCAAGCCTGTAATCCCAGCACTTTGGGAGGCCGAGGCGGGTGGATCACGAGGTCGAGAGATCGAGACCATCCTGGTCAACATGGTGAAACCCCGTCTCTACTAAAAATACAAAAAAAAATTAGCTGGGCATGGTGGCACGTGCCTGTAATCCCAGCTACTCAGGAGGCTGAGGCAGGAGAATTGCCTGAACCCAGGAGGCGGAGGTTGCGGTGAGCCGAGATCGCGCCATTGCACTCCAGCCTGGGTAACAAGAGCGAAACTCCGCCTCAAAAAAAAAAAAAAAAAAAAAAAAAAAGAGCTTTCATTTTCTAAAGACATGTGTATACTAAGAAAACCTAAGAAAAAAAGCAGCTGCCAGATTAAGTATGAAGATTTATGCACATTAGCTGCATAAAGATACTTAATAACGAGGCCAGGCATGGTGGCTCATGCCTGTAATTCAAGCACTTTGGGAGGCTGAGGTGGTCAGATCACCTGAGGCTGGGAAGTCGAGGCCAGCCTGACCAACATGGAGAAACCTCTTGTCTACCAAAAATACAAAATTAGCCGAATGTGATGGTATATGCCTGTAATCCCAGCTACTCAGGAGGCTGAGGCAGGAGAATCACTTGAACCCACCAGGCAGAGGTTGCGGTTGAGTTGGGTACACGCCATTGCACTTCAGCCTGGGCAACAAGAGCAAAAACTCTGTCTCAAAAATAAATAAATAGGCCGGGTGCGGTGGCTCACGCCTGTAATCCCAGCACTTTGGGAGGCCAAGGCAGGTGGATCACGAGGTCAACAGATCGAGACCATTTTGGTCAACGTGGTGAAACCCTGTCTGTACTAAAAATACAAAAAAAATTAGCTGGGCATGGTGGCGCGTGCCTGTAATCCCAGCTACTCAGGAGGCTGAGGCAGGAGAATTGCCTGAACCCAGGAGGCGGAGCCGAGGTCGTGCCATTGCACTCCAGCCTGGGTAACAAGAGTGAAACTCCATCTCAAAAAATAAATAAATAGGCTGGGCGCGGTGGCTCAAGCCTGTAATCCCAGCACTTTGGGAGGCCAAGGAGGGTGGATCACGAGGTCGAGAGATCGAGACCATCCTGGTCAACATGGTGAAACCCCGTCTCTACTAAAAATACAAAAAAATTAGCTGGGCATGGTGGCACGTGCCTGTAATCCCAGTTACTCAGGAGGCTGAGGCAGGAGAATTGCCTGAACCCAGGAGGCGGAGGCTGCGGTGAGCCGAGATCGTGCCATTGCACTCCAGCCTGCGTAACAAGAGCGAAACTCTGTCTCAAAAAAAAAATAAATAAATAAATAAATAAGTAAATAAATAAAAATAATAAATAATAAATAAATAAATAAGATAATAATGAACAGAAAAATAATTAGCTCTATAGTGAAAAAATCTTTCAGGGAGCTCTTTAACTAAGTGAATTTTTTTTCTTTTTTACCAGTATCGTGCCATTGCACTCCAGCCTGGGTAACAAGAGCGAAACTCCGTCTCAAAAAAAAAAAAAAAGAAAAAAGAAATAAAGCACATTCAAATAGGAAGAGAAGATGTCAAATTGTCCCTATTTGCAGATGACATGATTGTATATTTAGAAAAGCCCATGGTCTCAGCCCAAAATCTCCTTAAGCTATTAAGCAACTTCAGTAAAGTCTCAGGATACAAAATTAATGTGCAAAAATCGCAAGCATTTCTATACACCAATAATAGACAAACAGAGAGCCAAATCATGAGTGAACTCCAATTCACAATTGCTACAAAGAGAATAAAATACCTAGGAATACAACTAACAAGGAATGGGAAGGACCTCTTCGAGGAGAACTACAAACCACTGGCTCAAGGAAATAAGAGAGGACACAAACAGATGGAAAAACAGTCCATGCTCATGGTTATGAAGAATCAATATTGTGAAAATGGCCATACTGCCCAAGGTAATTTGTAGATTCAAAGCTATCTTCATCAAGCTATGAATGACTTTCTTCACAGAACTGGAAAAAATCACCTTAAACTTCATATGGAACCAAAAAAGAGCCTGCATAGCCAAGATAATCCTAAGCAAAACAAAAACAAAAAACTCCAAAGCTGTAAGCATCATGCTACCTGACTTCAAACTATATTACAAGCCTACTGTAATCAATACAGCATGGTACTGGTACCAAAACAGAGATATAGAACAATAGAACAGAACAGAGGCCTCAGAAAGAATGCCACAAAACTACAACCATCTGATCTTTGACAAACCTGACAAAAACAAGCAATGGGGAAAGGATTCCCTATTTAATAAGCGGTGTTGTGAAAATGGGGTAGCCATATGCAGAAAGCTGAAACTGGATCTCTTCCTTACACCTTATACAAAAATTAACTCTAAATGGATTAAAGATTTAAACATGAGGCATAACACCATAAAAGCTCTAGAAGAGGCCGGGCGCGGTGGCTCAAGCCTGTAATCCCAGCACTTTGGGAGGCTGAGGCGGGTGGATCACGAGGTCAAGAGATCGAGACCATCCTGGTCAACATGGTGAAACCCCGTCTCTACTAAAAATACAAAAAATTAGCTGGGCATGGTGGTGTGTGCCTGTAATCCCAGTTACTCAGGAGGCTGAGGCAGGAGAATTGCTTGAACCCAGGAGGCGGAGGTTGTGGTGAGCCAAGATTGTGCCATTGCACTCCAGCCTGGGTAACAAGAGTGAAACTCCGTCTCAAAAAAAAAAAAAAAAAAAAAAAGCTCTAGAAGAAAACTTAGGCAATACCATTAAGGACATAGGCATGGGCAAGGACTTTAAAACACCAAAAGCAATGGCAACAAAAGCCAAAATATACAAATGGGATCGGATTAGACGTAACATCTTCTGCACAGCAAAAGAAACTATCAATAGAGTGAACCGGCAACCAACGGAACGGGAAAAAATTTTTGCAGTCTACCCATCTGACAAAGCTAATATCCAGAATCTACAAAGAACTTAAACAAACTTGCAAGAAAACAAACAAACAACATCATCAAAAAGTGGGCAAAAGATATGAACAGACACTTCTCAAAAGAAGACAGCTGTACTGCCAACAAACATATGAAAATAAGTTCATCATCACTGGTCACTAGAGAAATGCAAATCAAAACCACAGTGAGTTACCTCACCCCAGCTAGAATGGTGACCATTAAAAAATCAGGAGACGCCGGGCGCGGTGGCTCAAGCCTGTAATCCCAGCACTTTGGGAGGCCGAGGCGGGTGGATCACGAGGTCGAGAGTTCGAGACCATCCTGGTCGACATGGTGAAACGCTGTCTCTACTAAAAATACAAAAAATTAGCTGGACATGGTGGCGCGTGCCTGTAATCCCAGCTACTCAGGAGGCTGAGGCAGGAGAATTGCCTGAACCCAGGAGGCGGAGGTTGCGGTGAGCCGAGATCGTGCCATTGCACTCCAGCCTGGGTAACAAGAGTGAAACTCCGTCTCAAAAAAAAAAAAAAAAAAAAAAAAAATCAGGAGACAACAGATGCTGGAGAGGATGTGGAGAAACAGAAATACTTTTGCACTGTTGGTGGAAGTGTAAATTAATTCAACCATTGTGGAAGACAGTGTGGCAATTCCTCAAGGATCTAGAAATAGAAATACCATTTGACCCAGCAATCCCATTACTGGGTATGTACCCAAGGATTACAAATCATTCTATTATAAAGACACATGCACATGTATGTTTATTGTGGCACTGTTTACAATAATAGCAAAGACTTGGAACCAACTCAAATGTCCATCAATGATAGACTGGACAAAGAAAACGTGGCACATATACACCATAGAATACTATGCAGCCAAAAAAAAGAATGAGTTAATGTCCCTTGCAGGGACGTGGATAAAATAGAAACCATCATTCTGAGGAAACTGACACAGAACAAAAAGCCGAACACCTCATGTTCTCACTCATAAGTGGGTGTTGAACAATGAGAACACATGGATACATGGAGGAGCATATCACAGAACCGGGCCTGGGTGGTGGGAGATTAGAGGAGAAATAGCAGGAAGTAGGGGAATTGGGGAGGGACAGCATTAGGAGAAATACCTCATGTAGATGACGGGGGGATGGATGCAGCAAACCACCACAATGGCACGTGTATACCTATATAACAAACCTGCACAATCTGCTAATGTACCCCAGAACATAAAGTATTATAAAACAAATTTAAAATAAAAATAAATCAACAACCAAAAAAAGTCATATATTGTTCAACTACTTAAATGCTGAAATATTTAAAAATAAATAAACTTTAAAAATAAAATTTCCAAAGAAAAACTGTGCCCAAAAACATTCTAAGATTTCTGTGCCTCAGAAAGAGTTTGGTTTCTTTCTTTTTTTTTTTTTGAGACAGACTCTCATTCTGTCGGCCAGGCGCCAGGCTGAAGTGCAGTGGCATAATCTCGGCTCACTGCAACCTCTGCCTCCCAGGTTCAAGCAATTCTCCTGCCTCAGCCTCCCAAGTAGCTGGGACTACAGGCACGTGCCACCACGCCCAGCTAATTTTTGTATTTTCAGTAGAGACGGGGTTTCACTATGTTGGCCAGGATGGTCTCGATCTCTTGACCTCATCATCCGCCCACCTTGGCCTCCCAAAGTCTTTCTTTTTTTTAAAGGCCAGGTACGGTGGCTCACTCCTGTAATTCCAGCACTTTGGGAGGCTGAGGCGGGCAGATGACCTGAGGTCGGAAGTTCAAGACCAGCCTGACCAACATGGGGAAATCCCATCTCTCCTAAAAATACAAAAAAAATAGCCGGACGTGGTGACGAAGGCCTGTAATCTGAAATACTCAGGAGGCTGAGTCAGGAGAATCGCTTGAACCCCGGAGGCAGAGGTTGTCATGAGCTGAGATCAAGCCATTGCACTCCAGCCTGAGCAACAAAAGTAAAACTCCACCTCACACATACACAAAAAAAAAACCGAAGAAGAAGGCATAGAAATTTTGTGCAATACAGTGTCAGGGAATTATTTTTTGCTTTCTTCTCATAGTAAATATTTTCAAACAGAAAACAATTTTAAGTGCCATTTAATGCTTTGTCAAAAAATAATTAAAATACATTCTCAAAAATGTACACTAAAGGAAAAATAGTTGATAATGGGAATTTGGAAAGAAAAGTTGGCATTCAGAAATGTCAGAAGAAACTGAATTTACTATTTTAGTTTTTTTACAGTTTAAATCTAACTGCAGGCCAGAGTTAGGCTGGAGGAATGGTCCTGGGAGGTCCACTTCAGACCCTGCTTGGAACACAAACATGTGAACAACGCAGGGGAAAATCAATCCCGTGAAGTGTGAGAATAAGTAAGTGGCAGGCAATTAGACTTAGGAAGCTCTAGTTCCTACTTACACAAACTGCTATGTAACTGTACCTAACCAATTGTTAAATATGGTTTTCTTCATTATGCACCTTATAAAAGTCTTTCCCTCAAGCTCCTCTCATAAACCACAAACTGCAAAAAGCTCCTCGCAAAAACCACAAACTACGAAACATACCGGGTGCTCTACAATTACTGAATCACTCTTTGATTAAATCCTTTAATATTTTTGCAATGGCTGACACAGATTTTTAATAGCAGAAAATAGAAACTGAAAACCCCACGGACCCAAAGCTCTTCCCGTTCATCATCCCACACCCCAAATCAGGATTTTCTCATGAAGACCCTCCCGTGGTCCCTGCACAATCTGGGAGAGACGCAGCACTGTCCAGAGAGAGCTCCAGACCGAGACTCAGTCACCGCGCAAGGCAGACACAGGACACCCAGGACCACTGCTGTCAGCGCAGCCGCCATCTTATGGCTGAAGGGGACTGGGGCCGAGCTGGGCAAGGAGACCTCCGGGCGCAGATGGTGGAGGTGACCGCGGGGAGGCCTGAGTCCCGCCACAGCCATTTCCCACCGGTTCCAGCCAGCCCCTTCCCCTCTCTCGGGATGTCTGACTCGGCGCTCTCACCATGTGTAGAATTCCAGGGCTTCCTGGC